CGAGGGAAATCAACTAACGGAGAGTGGAAATCTAACTCTTTGTCATCTTACGGAAATCGTCAGGCTTCGGCTGACCAGGCGGCAAAGGGTTGCAGACGTCAAAGGGGAGCTTGAAATCGCGACCGCTAAGCAGCAGGCGCAGTCCATTAAACATTGGCAACGGAAGGGCCTTGTTGGGGCGACCATAGTCCTTGAGCTCCGGTGTTTGCGCAAGCTTTCTCTGCTCAGGTATCGACAGACCCTTGGTCAAATCAGAAGGAGCCGATTGGCCAGCATACAGTCCACGATCGAGATATTTCTTGTGGCGCTTCGTCTTCTTGGAAGGGGCATCGGCAGCCTTCTCAGCCTTCTCCTCTACGTCCTCTTTCTTAGTCTCGAGCGGCTCAGATTTGGCCTTCTTGGCCGGTGGCGCGGGGATGTTGCCATTTTCGTCCAAGATCACGAGCTTTCCATTAGACCAGACCGTTCTGATGACAGGCTTCTCGTCAATGCCGGTGAACTCCTTGGTGTCTTGCAGACGGCGCAATTCGCGGGGAATCTTGGACATGTTCTTCTCAAAGGTTTTGCGACTCCGCTTGCCGAGATTGGAGACTTTAGTCGCAAGAGTCTCGACAGGGGTCCCGATAAGACGCGCCGTGTGACGAGTAATCCGCGACGTTGCTGCTTTTTCCGTGGTGATCTTCTTCGCACGCGGTGTTTTGAGAGCCCCAACAGACCATTGGAGGTCCAACGCGTCAATACCGTCACGGACAAGATTGCTAGCGACACGCGCCACCTCGTCCGTATTGGCTCCACCATCGACAAGCGTTTCGCCAGAAATGGTCCGGCGCCGGTCAGCAGCGACAATGTCACCCTTGGAGCGGCGGTGGCCGCGGTTCGCCGTGCCGCTGAGTTTTGAGAGGTTGTATACACCCTTTCCGGAGCAAGACCGACGTGGGCGCGCTGCGGGCTGGGGTTCCGAGGGCGTTTCGGGTGCAGGGTCGGGAGTCGGAATGGCATCCGCAGGGATTTCGATTTGAGCCTCGATTTCGGTCTCGATAATGGTTTCGGTTTCGAGAATGATGGGAATGTCGTCTAGTTTGGGGCCCTCTGAGGCCTGGCTAGCAACATCGGATATACTGGTGGGAGGCGTGGAGCTGGAAGACGCGATGTTGGACGAGGAATCAGTAGCAAGAGCGGACAGCAAGCCGCTATCGCTGTGTAGGAGAGACATATTGGGCGAAAATACCCAGTCTCGACGCGATTTTGAACTTTTGCGTCGTTTATGTCGTGTTTGGAGGTCGGTAGAGGGGAGATGCGACGCGTTCCAAAATAGAGTGTGCGTGTGTTGCGAGGTGGGAAGAAAGTTGGGGGGTGGGAGGTCCAGAGAAGTTCCAGACACGAAAAAGGCCAAGGAGAGGGATTAGACCGGGGTGTGTGCGGAAACTGTCTCCCCAGGCACGCAGAATTGGCTCGTTCGCTGCCTCTTAGCTCTCACCTTACCGGCCGGGCATTGAGTGGCAATAAGGTAAAGGTAGTTTCCGAGGGTATTTGGCAGACGAGGTACTCTTTGCCGTAGCAAACCAAAGCGCACTTCAGCCGAGTACCTTAGCAAGCGGAGGGAGTGTGAAAAGGGGGAAAGATGAGGGAATATGGGAACCCAAATAAAAATTGGTAAAGTCAAAAAGTTGTTCCCGAGTTCCGAAGTCTGTACTGACAATTGGTCGATTGTGGTTTGTTGGAAATTCCGTGATGGATTTTCGATATTGCTGTGAATAAGCGCGGTTCAATTCGTGGTAAGAGCGCGCGTGAGGAGTTGTAGCGCTGAAGGGTGAGTCGTGATAAGCCGGAGAGCGAGGAATGAGGTGGAGTGTTAGGTAGTGTGGCAAGGTAGGGTGAGATGGAGGGATGAGACAAAGACACGGAGTCTAAGGTAAGGTAGGGTACTTGCGGTAAGGAAGTAGGTGAAAGGAATTGGTGCGGATGGCGGGATGTGAAGGGTTGGCAAAGAAGGATGGCTTTGAGGGAGCTTCCGTCCCGTCAGGTTACCTATCCAGTGTCGTGTTGAGGACAGAGCGCGGGGAGTGGGGACGCGACTGAATTTGATTGATTTGATGGATGGATCAAGGTGGTTGACCGGTGGTTGTTGATTGATGGATTTGCTTGCTCTACCGGTCTGGCTGCCGCTGGCTGTTTTGCTGGACTTTGCGGCCTGCCTTGGCCACCAAACTCTGAGTGCTTAACGGATATGTCCGTTAGGTTTGGGCTCTGGCGATTCTTCTCTTCACCGTTTGCGGAGATAGAGAGCGATAGGATTGACTGAATTGCACGAAGTCAACCCAGGAAGGGTGTAAGAGAAATCGAACTCAGTAGTTCAGGCTTAGATGTTATGAGACGTCGGCTGAGAGCCAACGCACGCAAATGCTGGAAAAGGGAGGGCAAAAAAGATAGACGCGAGGAAGACAGGAGCAGGAGGCGAGAGAGGTGCTTCTGGATAAACGAGGGATGCTGAGGTGAGGAACGGGGCCTTGCTGACCTTTGTACCCCTTGTGAAAGAACCAGGGCGGGAAGGCTTGACTTGGTGTGTTGGCCCAGAATACGCCGCGCTTCTTCACTTCTGCTTTAGTTTGTGCGTCTCTTGTCTGACTTTGGTCGGTCTAGTCTTGCGTAGATTTGGCGACTTTCAATATCAGAGAGCGTGTGTGTGAGACATGCACGCAATGTACCGAGAATATGAGAAGTAAGAGCGATTTAGACGGAGAGGGGAAAATGACAGCGAGAGAGTAAGAACATGGAGATTCGGTCGTCTCTGGATGCGGATGGATGGACGTGACCTGGCCTCTCTTCGGGCCTCGTTCGTTTTGGGCTGGGGAACCTCTAAAGGTAAACAGAACCCTGCTCGGTCCGTGTCGTGTTGCGTGTGCGTACACGGGACTCTCTCTCTGTGTGTCCTCTCCTCTCCATCCATCCAGTCCTATTATCACTCTCATCTTCGCCTCTCCTCCACTTGTACATACACCCTGAACATTGGATCCTTCATCCTGCTGACTTACGCTCTAGTTAACTACACGGCCGGATAAGCCGAAACAACCAAAGTCTGCTCCATCATAATCTTCCAACCTCTAGCAACCAGTCCATCGAACTATGGCTTTGTAAAATTGAGGTTCCCAATGATCCTCGTGTCGTTGAAAATGCAAGGTTCAAGTGTCATCTGGTTGTGTTGCTTGTATCTTCTCGGACCACCTCCTGTGTTTTGCCTCAATCGCTGGCGCCACCGCCGTACTGCTGCGCTGAGCCTCGCCCCGATACAGGCATGATGGGCAACACCACACCTTACCTGCATCCTCCTCGTCTCGACCACTCGCCATATTGGGACTTCCAGGTGGATTCGACTGATTGGGGTCCGCAAGCAAACACTCCTAACATGGGCTTTGGCTCAGTCCATAGAGTGTTATCCGACTAACAAACAACAACAATGACTTGCCAAATCTACTGATGATTACCACTTATGATAACTTTCAAGAATGATGCTGCCAGTTTGCCTGATATACGATTAAGTTCGTCATCGTGAACTCCGAATCGCATGCTCAAATGGTGAGATAGGCAAGGTGGGATTCCCGGATCACGTCACAGTTGGGGACCACTCGGGAGTAGTCTGTTTCGGATCTACAACAAAACGACACCATTATGACAGTGTAGACAACCTTGGTGAGTTATTCTCAAGTGACTGTACGATTCTCAGCCACTGTTTCATGAGAGAATCTCTCAGGAAGGTTGGCTCTGTTGTTCATTCTCACGTCGAGGCTTTAAACATCCGCTGGATTTAATGCCCTCACGGAGCAGGTCATGAAAATCGGTATCACGCGTAGATAGCGAGAAAGCTAAACGAATAAAAACATGGTGAACTGAGCATTAAGAAAGTGTTTTGCTTGATTCGCGCTGGATTGGGAATTGGCCTGCCAGTGGTGTTGTTGTGTTCATCAACATCATGTTGGAAAACACACAATTTAGACAATCATCCCCGCGACGATGACCACACTCGCTGACGAAAGAAATCAATGAGATTGTTCGTTAGCTCCGTTGGACTGGGCTCCGTTAAACGACTGTTGTCAGGACGTTGTAGAATTCGTGAGATGGACTAAGATACTGTTTGTCACTTCAAAGACTATGCCCGAATTCAAATGTTCACCTTTGAGTACTCCGCACCTTTCGGGATGAAGTAGAAACAGTCGACTATTCATCTAGAAATACCCATCAAAAGTGCTTCCCGACGTGGGACGAGACCACATATCCGTGGTGTTCTGCGATTGAGTATCGCGGAAATACGTGAGTGGTTAACCTGCTTGCCACCTTGCTTGACAGCCGCTGCTTATCCCCCCGGGATGCGGGTCGAACAAGGCAGGTAGGTGGGCGCGCAAACCACCCGGCGGTACAATCACCACACTCTTCGAGGAGAGGTATCCATGCACTCGGCCGACAGGCTGCCAAACCTGCAAGGCCAAGAAGCAGAAGGGGCACGGGAATGCTGCGCGGTTTCACTCCGGATGGAGCTTTCCTTTCTTTGAGTTGGTCGGTCTTTGCACATTTCTCACATCCTCAAGATTCCGGCTGGTTTGAACCGTCGAATTTGATTTTATTCTTCTTCCTAACCTAGGTATTAAAGAGGAGACAGTCCCATCCTTTCCTGCTCGTCTCTCTGTTCTGATCCTTCTTTCCTTCCTGTCTTCGATCGAAAAAATTGAATTCGAATTGACAACGCCACAAACACACACTAGAAGGGTATTATGGCATGAACGCAAGGAGAAAACGCAATGGGCAAACCCAGGATTCTGCTCTGTCTCTATTGGGGACGGAGCGAAGAAACCCTGAATGCCAAGAGCCCGATGGATCTCTTGCGACAACATCATACTCATGTTCTCGCGAAAACCAACCGAGGTCCAGCCCACAGATTCAAAAGGCATTTACAAAAGGAAAAAAGCAGCGAATAGAGAATCAAACCATGCAAGCCGTCAAGTTATCTTTTAGGCAGCAACAGTCTTGGCCTCCTCCTTGGCCTCGGTCTTGTCATTGATGCTCAAGTCGGCGACGGTGGGAACCTCAGTCTTCTCAGCCTCGGCGGCCGCAGGAGCAGCCTTGACGGGCTCAGAAGCGACGCCGGGCTCGCTGACAGCGACCGCGGGAGCCTCGGCGGTAGGCTGGGTCTCAGTCGCAGCAGGCGCGGCAACGACGGGAACAGGAGTAGCATCAGCCGCGGGCTTCTCGACAGGGGCCTCAGCCTCTGCGAACTTGACGGTCTGGCCGGTGGTCTTGATGCCCTCAGCGTTTCCACCGTAGTCCTTGGGCAACGAGTCCTTGTAGGCCGGGAGCTCTCCGCCCAACTCGGAACCATAGCCGAGAGGGTGGAACTTGGCGATGGTCTTGGGAGCGAGGAAGACCTTCATCGCCTTGAAGACCCAGCCCATGAGCGCGGGGATGTTGACGAAGTACTTGTGGACGAGAAGCTCAGGGTAGGCCATGGCAAAGACTCTAATCGTCTCAGAGGAGGCGGCCTTGACGGCGGGGTCCATGCGGAGGAAGCTGACGTTGAGGTAGTCGTGAACCTGGATCATCTGGTAGGGGTCCTCGCCGCCATCAGGGATGGCGGTCTGGACCTTATCGAGGTTAAGCTTGCGGACGCTGAGCTCCATAAGGGCAGCGCGCCACTTGATGAACCTATTTAAATGTGTGTGTAAGTCGAATGCTATTTCATGTGATACAGTGAATCTTATTTTCTTGGGTTGTTACTCACTCATCGACGTTGCCAAAAGTGGCCTTCTTGTCCTTGACGGCTCCGTAGATGTTCCAGGTGATGATCATCTCCTTGCCCTGGGCGTCCTTGTGAGTGGTGACATAGCCGAGATCACCAAACTTCTTTGCATCGAAGGAGACCTCGTCAAGAAGCTTGCCGGGGTTAGTGTCACGACGCCAAATCAAAGCCTTCTGGAGCTGGTCAGCAGCCTTGGAGACATCGTCGTCGTTGGCGCGAAGGAACTTCTGGAGGACGACGGTGGTGGGAACGTGAGTGTCGTCGGAGAGCTGCACACCCCACATCTCGTTGTGCTTGGCCTCAGCCAAGATGGCGGGAAGCTTCTCAAAGAGCGAAGACAGGGGAGTCTGGGCCTTCTCAACGGGCTTCTCGGCAGCAGGAGCGGCGGCCTTCTCATCAGCCTTGTCCTCCGTCTTCTCAGCAGCAGCTGCAGCGGGCTGCTCAGTCTTCTGCTCCTGCTTGACCTCAGGGGTGGCAGCAGCAACGGCGGCGGGCGCGGGAGCGTCGACCGAAGTCGACTCTGTGGCAGGTGCAGCGGCGGCCGGCTGGGCCTCAGCAGCAACAGCAGGGGCAGGCGCCGCGACGGGCGTGTCGGTGGTCTGGGCAGACATGATGGGGATCAGAAAAATCCGTGAGTGAGATGAGTCTGAGAGTGAGAGTGAAAGTGAGAGGGTGTCAAGGAATGAGTGTGGGAAGTGAAGGGTGAAATTTCCGAGAGTGACAGCTCCTGGCTGGCGTCTTTTCGTTCGGAAAAATAAGATGATAAGAAAAAAAAGTTCAGGCCGGTTTTTTTGCCCCAGCCCCTCTTGCTGCAAAGTCGCGTCAAGTTGCCTCAGGTGTGTGCGAGAGTGTGTGTAAGGTAAGGTAGCGTGCGTGTGTGCGCGTGTGTGGTATCTGTCCCGGTCTGTTGGGGTGACTATTATTTTTTGCCCTTTGGAAGTGAGCGTATTATTGAGTGAATAGGTAGGCAGGCAAGCCAGGCGGTAGGTATGATAGGCAGGTACGATGAAAGAGAGAGAGAGAGAGAGAGAGAGTATGGGAATCTGAAAGGGAGGGTTCGCAGGAATTGCAAATGGAAGGTACGAGGTGCGCTCGGGTACTAAAAGTAATTGAGTCTGATGGGAGACGGAAAGTGGCAGCAGCAAACAGACCACACACACCACACGAAGCGGCAACGACAAGCTGTGGCAGCAACGGCAACGGGAAAGAGCAATGGAACCCAAAATGAACCTACGTACCTAAGGTAAGGAAGGTAGGTACCTTGGTCAGTCACCCAGTCCACCTCATGTTCCAAGGACCAAGGGTCACTCTCATCCTTACTCCCATGATCATCTAAGGTAGGTAGTACCTTCTCTTGGGTTATTTACAAGTTCAGCCCATGTACCTACCTTACCTCATTCTAGGTAAAAGTAAGGTACGGATACCTGTCATGCTTCACGTCAGGCCGTTGCTATTCACCCACCTCGAGCGCTCCGTGCGTTGCTTCCGGGGAAACTCGAGGTATCAACCCATCCAGCCAGTGATGTTTTTTCTTGATGAGGATGATGCCGCCGCCACTGCCACTCACTAAGCTAAGTATTCATACACTCGCATCTCCAAAAACAATCTCAGCTGGGCTGGGCTTCAGTCCTGGCCTGTGCAGACGGGAGAGTGGAGTGGAGATGGACCCCCTTTTTCACAGGTGATTTGCGCCCTCTGTTTCGACGGAGCTTGGATGGGGTCACAGTCCTGACATGTAAACTCCTTGTCCAGAACTTCCTTGTCCCTAGTTGTTTCTTCCTTTTTTCAGTCTTGTCCCGTCCAACGAAAGCTTCGTGAACCCAGGAAGGCACTTGTTGTTGTTGGATTTAATGTTTAATACCGATTTTCCTCGTTGGAACTTGCAAATTGAGCAAGGACCACTGCCTTGACAAGCCATCCCTACTGTGCACCACGCCGCAAGTTTACACTACTCGAGTCACTCAACCTCATCAATGATCGATGGACCGATGTAACCTCAAAGTCTGTGGTGCTTCAATATGCTGTACTCCGTATGTATTGAGCAGGATGAGAATGATGCCTGGGCCACAAGACGGCGAGTTCAAGGCAGCACGATCGATGCGAAGGCTCTCCATCAACACGGATATCTCATTAAACCCTTTACTCCAAGGGCCCCCAATTACCTCCGATCTTCCAACCTCCGGTGCCAATGTGCCCCGCCATAATCAGCCGCCGCCGAATGCCGCTAAGCCAGTCGTCCGTCCGCGCCGTCGAAATGTTTCAGGGGCTTTTTTTTTTGTCCTTCTTGTCCCTGCCGCCGACCATTGAGTCGGGTTTTCCAAGTTAGTGCAAGCGTCGGGCCCCAAAACAATACTACGAATACCTACCTCCTCCGAGCCCGGTGATCTCCCAAACGACCCTCCGGTACCATCCAAACAACGAACCTTGAGGAGGGAAGGACGAAGGGGAAAATGGGAAAGGGCCCCGCTCCGTTGGCCCGTGCCTGAGGTAGGTAGGGGCTTTCCCGCCAACAAACCTGCCAGATGCGCACTGAGCGGTCCCGTCGCCCTATCGAACTCCCCTGGGTCAGGTTGCGCCTGCCGCGTGCAAGACTGATGGACCAGCTGCCGCACGATGCCGGGCGATGCCGCTCCAGGTCTAGGCGGTACCTGCAGCTCTTAGTGCACTCTTTCTCCACTCCCCCCTCGCGGCATTCTGAGTGGCCCATTAGTCCAAGAGTCACCGTGTCTGGGAAAGGCTTACTAAGGTAAGGCACTCCACTCGCCAACTTCAACCTCAACTGCACGAACGGTTCGTTTAGGTTTCCGTCACCCAGTCAGCCCTTTAACGCCATCACGCCGTCTACGCGCCACGCGAAACTCTACGCCAGCCTACCTGACGTTGTGCCCACAACGACGGTTTGACGGGAATGTTTCAATCCGTCAAGAACAAAGACAAACAAAAAAGGGGTGGCAACGGCCGGATACTAGAAGGTTGTAGAGAACTGCTCTAGAGGTCTTATTGATCGGGTATAGAGAATTTCAACCACTCGAACCCCTATCTCACTAAGGTAATCTCAGAAGCCCATCCTCCACCTGTGAAAGAAACCTAGAAACATCCATAGTTTCCAGATGTCAGCGTGCGACAAACCAAAGGACTCCATCCTGATTTTCCGAGCCCTCCATCCTGTCCTTGACTCGCCCAAACTCCCAAGGAAAGAATGCCAGAAAAACAAAAGGCATGATGCAAAACCATGAGGGGCAAAGGCTCATCCCTTCAAGCCAAATGCCGAGAATGTGAAAGTGCAGATAAGCAGAGCGAAAAGGGGAAATTCCGAAGCAGTGTGCCAACTTCCATTAGTCGAAGTCATCGCAGCACCCCATTCTTGTCTCGCCTTGTTTCCCAGGTCTGTTGTGACTCGACATTAGTGACCGATAGAAGGAGTTAGGGCGCGGCGGATGATCGCCTCGAGCGTCTGGTACTCGTGCATGGCAAGAGTTGCAAGAGTCATGTGGTCGAATTCAGGTCCAACACGAAGGTTCAGCTCGCGCCAGAAGAAGCCAAAGTAGCCATCAGTGGCCTCACCGATGGCGCACGTCTGGCACTTTTCCTGGAACGACTGCATCTCCAAGTAGCGAGTAGTCTCCCCGCGAATGACGGCAATATACCACTGCGGAAGATTACTGATTAGCCCCAAGCTCTTTTATTTTCACACCATCATTCCAATGGAAAGACAAGCGGAATAGGGATATGACTTACCTCGATGACATCCAAGGGGACGCCATTCTTGGGGACCAGGACGTAGAGGTGGCGCCAGCTCTCGGCAAAACGCGGCTGGCCAAAGGAACGCTGCTCCATCTCACTCATGTTGACAATGAAGGCAATATCGTCCTTCTGGGTAATCGAGAAGCCCTCGCAGCGCATCGCCGCGGCGACGACTCGCTTGCATAGACGATGAGTAAGGTTGACCTCGTCGCGCTTGTCGCGAATGTTGCCCACGAGGATGCGGAGGAGATCGCAGGTGGCCTTGTACATGGCATGACGCTGCTGAACAGTGACATGGCCCTTCATCTGCCAAGGGAACTTGGTCAGGGTGCTGATGAGACACTCGAACGGACGCTGCGGGCACTCCTTCGAGAAGGGAGACTGCAGAATAGTTAGCCACAGGCTCATGAGCACATTACGCTCTGGAGACCTACGCGGTGGGGAACCTCGACGTGCTTGACCAGCATGGTCATCTCTTCGTTGGACACGAAGCCCTTGAAGTTGTCCCAAGGCTCTTGGTCGTTGTCAGGGAGGACGTGGGGGTGAAGACCGGCCCAGAACACACCCCTGGCGTTGGGGAACAGGTCCTTCATGAGAGCAGCCTGGCTAGAAAGCTCAATCTCGACCGGACGCTGACCGATGCGAGTGACTCGACCACGGTCAAGGTTCTGATGATGCTTCTCAACGGCCTTGGAAGCATCCTCCAGGGTGTGGAACTCGACGTAAGCGTCAGTGGTCTTGCCAGTGACACGCTCCATGATGATGTGAACAGGTTCATCAGTGTCGTTGAGCATACGGGAGTTGCGGCCCAGGATTGCAATGATCTCGGAGCGGTTGGTAACGAAAGGAATCTGGCCAGGTGTTAGTGCCTATGACAACGATGAGTAGAATATTAGGTGAACAAACGTTGCCAATCTTGATGACGCCGCGAACCATGAAATGGGAAACACGCGGAGGAGGCTCAACGAACGGAAAGTTCACTTGATGCATAGCCTCATTCGCGGTAGGTCGACCCGTGGGACCGCCCGTGAGGCGGTTCAGCTGCGTCGATCGTTGAGCGCGGATGTAGTCAGGAACAGCGTCGCCATAAGTCGCGACAGCTTCCTGGAGCTGATAGCCACCCTGGAAAGTATCCTGATAGGGGGCCTGGTGAGGAGCCTGATAGGGAACGATTGCCGCACTGTTGCCAGCAAGAGGCAGAGCCTGAGGAGGCTGCGGCAGGGACAATCCCACTGGCCGGGCAGGCACGTTCTGGACGTTGGCAGCATGTCCTCCGTTGGCCGAGTTGGGCTGATGAACTTGACTGGTGGTATCGTTCTCGATGGACGGCTCAGCGTCATCGCGAGGAAGATTGTCGAAGTACAAGGTATCGCCTGTTGCGGCAGGGAAAGGGATCTGACCAGTCGCGAGCAAGTGGGTAGTGTCGATTTGCGAGCCAAACATAGGCACAGACGACTGAGTAGTGCCAACTTGCAAAGCGGAAGACACGAAAGGATCCTGAGTATCCGAAGCAAGGGTATTGGCGCCGTTGTTTACCTCGATCAAGTTGAACTTGGGAGGCGCTCCAAGGTGATTCATGGTACGTGGAGCAAAGTTGCGCGGCTCCGTCATGAGACCACTGGTACAGACACCCTTAGCCTTGGGGGTATCGCTGCCGGAACTGACATCATCACCAGTCAGATCAATGACTTCCTTGCCGCCCTGGTTGTAGAGCAAGCTACCAATGTCCTGGCGGACAGGGGTCTGGATGCCCAAATTGCCCATGGAGGAGCTGCCGGTAAGCTGGCCGTGGTTCGCCTGGCTGGCCATCTTCGGGAGCGCAACGCGATAGTTGTTCTCGACTGGTCCGCCCAAGTAGGAAACTGCACCGTTCGAGCTAGATCCAAAGTTCTGAGCGGGAATCGATGAACGGCCCTGAATCTTGCCGTTGGCGCCAAGATACTGAGGAGTACCGTCAAGCTCAGCAATCTCGGGCTGATCAATCTGGGCGCGAGTGTTAGATCGAAATATGGCTGATAAGAGAGTTTTGAAATGTTGGATAGATATACCTTGCTAGTGGTCTGTTGGACCTGAGAGGAGTTGGGAACCCAAGGCGAGGAAGAAGGGTTGAGGCTAGAGCTGGCTAAGATGTAATGCTGGCCCTGCTGGTTGCGACCGAAAGGGTCATTGTCGAGGCGGGCACCACCAGGCTCACTGTCGTAGTCGCCATTCTCCATGGCAGTCTCTGTCTCAACAACAGTCTCCGGCACGGCGCGAGGCCTGAACGCAAACTGGAGCACGCTGTTACGCACTCGCCGCTGCTGCTGTCCCAACTTGCCCTTCATACCAGGTACCTGAGAGTAGACCATAATGTGCAAACACTTAGGCGTAGTCGTAGTCCTTGTTGAGAATAGGAAGAACAAGAAGGATGTTAATGAGGGATACTGGTGGCAGTAGATGCGATGAATGTGTGTGATGACAGTAAGTGCTCTAGAAGTACGCGATTAGTGATTGAGCAGCCGAGGTGTGAAACGTTGAGAAAAGAGGCGAGTGTGACCCGGGGATGAGAGACAAGGCGAGGGCGGTTGACTTGAGAGGCAGGAGCAGAGAACACCGAAAAAGGCGGGAGCACACAAGGTGAAGAAAGTGAGGTGGTGAATGAGAAGTAGTGAATGTAGAACGAGGTCTAGTAAATTTGATAAGCCGAGAGGAAATGGCGGCGGTAAAGCGAGTGAGTCTCTCTCATCAATTTCCAAACAGCGCAAGCGTTTTCGTCGAAGGAAGCCTTCGTCGCTTCTCTGGGATGAATCGATAACTCAGGAACAGACAAAAAAGAGCGGAAGAAATATCATCGCCAAAGAAGAAGTGCAATAAAGATTTGACAGATGACGGAATGTGCTGGATATACAGAGAAGGAAACAACTCACTCTTACTGCTGGAAGGCAGACTGGCCCAAGGAAGCAGTTGGAAACCACCGTACAGTGACTGATGGGAATCTGTTGATCGAAAGTCGTCAGAAAGAAAGATGTAGAAGAGTGAAAGGGATGAGGGTTAGGTGGTGAAGAAAAACAAACATAACCTCACTCTCGAGCAAAGCCTGAAGGGACGGAAGGAGGTAGGATGAAGGGGAGGTCGGACGATAAACAGCCAAACCAACGTGAAAAAAACACAATGTTGCCAGGTCGTTGCTTCCGAAATGAGAGCCGTGGCAAGAATCAAGCTGAGAGGGGGGGGAAAAAAACCAGAGCCTTACCAGAGGCCAAACGAGTATCGTGAGAGGCAGGTAGCCTAAGCAAGGCAGAGCTGAGAACTGAGGATTTCTTCAGCTGTATCGACAATGCGCGTAGGTCGATAAAATCGGCAGACCCTGTAGGCTGTGTAGAGTCTTGAGCACGAGATTGTACTTGAGACCCAGATTATTTGTTGTGATGGGGCGGAAGGGAATTGTTGATTGAGTGTGTGAGGTGGGTAGGAGGAGTGGAAAGAAAGGTGGATTGAGGGGGAGAGACTTGGGAGGAGAGAAGAAGGTGTGAAGGAAGAAGAGGCTTTTGAAATAGGGCATAGAGGACGCCGAGGCGGTAGCAGGATGAATAGGTGGTTGTGTATTCCATTGTAGCCTGGTGGGGTGGAGGTGAGTATTAGGTCGATGTTTGCATGATAAATCAGGACGACGACGATGGCGAGATTGGGTTGCCTGAGTGCGAATAACCCTTATTTTATAAGAATGGTATAAAGCGCTATACGGTTCTCCAGGGAAGAGGACGACTGATTCCGCCTTCCCTCAGCGACCAGCATAATCTCAATTACGCGACAGCAACAGCGATGAGCAGGGTGACGTCGTCGTTTTTGTGATGGCAAAAAATCACTCAGCAGTAACGGTCGAGATCGATTGCCGGCTGTTTCTCGCTCCAGAATGGGTTCGACTTCATTGTATCCGACAACGTGACACTACATCTCGCAATGCTTACATGGACGTTCCGACTTTCTTCGGCACTCTCATAGGGTAAGCAGAGCAAAAGAGTTACATTAGAACACGCGGCACTGACATGCTACACTTGATTGGGAGAGAGTTGTGTTCATAACGGTAATTGTTTATCAAAAGGGAGGCTCCATGTCGTCGTTCCCACTCGGCCCCGGATTTGCGGACCAGTATCAAGGTTGGAACCATAGTGGATCCCGGTATTCCGGGAGCGCTCGAGCCAACATCCAACTCCAACTCATGAATCTGGTCCATGGCTTCAACGTGGCGCGAAATTCTCGTTCCAGCTACACGAGTCTGGCCGTGCAGACTTGAAGCTGCACTCCTGGCTTGTGAGAAGCTTGCTGTAGGGTATTTTAATCGAACTAAGGGAGGCATCAGTTGTGTCCGGTTGGCGCTGCAATGGCGAGTTTGACTTACGGGAGTCAGGAAAGATTCGGCGACGAATCTGGCTCTCGCATTCAACTGTATGCTGTTAGAAACTGTCACAGCAGAAGGATCAAGAGTGGGGAGACATACGAAGAGCTTCATTTCCGAGATCTCCTTATCAACCTCCTCCATGAATTGGATAATAAAGTCGACCAGCTTGTGCTTCAGCATCTCCTCGGTGTGGAAGTTCGTAATCAAGAATGAAATGTCGTATCCCTAATGCAATAGTAGGTCAGCGTCGTCCTTTGCATGACCAGTTGCAAGCCTCGTGGCATTGCAACCCCTGGTAGCTCCACCAAACACTTTCGTGATGCGTGTCCCGTACCTTGATTGGTTTCCTTCTCAATATGAAAAACGATTCGGCTCTCTGCGTCAGGAAACGAGTGAACTTGTGGACGAGGATGTGCTCGATCTCGTCGGCCTGCTTGATCTTGATAGATATCCGCACGGAATTGATACTCGGTTCGATCAAAACTCGCTCGTTCTCGTTTCGGGCAATCGTTAGGGGCGTCAGAAGGACTTCGGGCGATGTTTGAGCCTCGATCTCGGGGACATTGTGACGTTCGGCAGTTTGGGAAGCGAAGTTGGAGAGCGTCAGGGCGGACGTCAGACTGCTCCGAACGGCCTGGAGATAGGGTCGCAGTGATTGGGACTATGTGTGCAATTGTTAGCAAAGATACAGCTCTTCCAACCACAGAGTCCACTAACCATGATGGCGAAACGTAGCCGCGTCCAACCTTTGGTGATGTTGAGAGGTTGGAGTTGGATGTTGACCGCGGGGCTCGTGAGGTTGGCTCAGCCGGAAGCCTGACGTTTCGTAGTGGGGCTGGTAGCACCGCCGTACCTAGCTCCACATCATGCGTAGCTGTCACCGCACTTCGCTGATTCAGCCGGAAGCTGCCTCACGTGATCACAGAGCTCTTTCCTTAGTGGCGATCCCCCGCTTGTGCCCTTTACATGCATATTACGGTATATATACACTTCAGCATTCAGGAGACTGAATTATAACGGACTCGGGACTAGGCATACTTCATTTATGCTCATAGATAAGGTAGTATATGGAGATGGGTATCTATTCAGTCATTTAGTATTGAGGTGCAAATTGTTTTTTGCCATAGACTTATAGGTTTTCTTCCAGAATCCCCTCCCCCGAAGATGCTGGAAGACCGTCGAATGCATGCGGAAGTGATAGGGACAAGGGCATATTGCCATAAGCGAATCGGTAGCTGAAACGGACCCTGCAGGTACACCGCTTCCCCGCTATCTTGCCGTGTGGTCCTTTGTACTACCTTGCCTCCCTTACTGCCCGCCCACCTCAAGGTTCCATGCTTGGTAGGTACTGACGCAACCCACCTGGTGCCTCCAACAAACTTGTCCTTCAACAGCCCGTTTCGCAACGGGGTTTTACTCCCAACACACTGCAATAGCCAGCAACTCCAAAACTTTGCAGCAAGGCCGACCTGAATCACAAAAACAACGATGGCGTCAATACCCGGTAAGCAGCATCACTCAATCAATGCGTTGCTTGCTGTTGTCTGACTTGTCAAACAGTCACCGTTAGCCACCAAGGCACAAAGTACCAAGTCGAGATCGATACCTCGTCCAATGGCGAAACCTTCAAGTATCAACTCTACAGTCTTACTGGCGTTGAACCCGAGCGACAGAAGATTCTTGTCAAGGGCAAGCAAGTCAAGGACGACGATGACATGGCCAAGTTCGGCCTCAAGGCCGGTGCCACGCTGATGATGATGGGCAAGCCTTCCGGCGAGAACGCAGATCTCGCTCGACCCAAGGAAGCAGTCAAGTTTGTCGAGGACATGACCGAAGCCGAAGCAGCCCAGCAGGAAGGAGCCACTCCCGCAGGCCTCACCAATCTGGGCAACACCTGCTACCTTAACTCGACCCTCCAGACCCTCCGATCGATCCCCGAACTCCAGACGGCCTTGACCACGCACAAGTCGGGTAACGGTGGTGCCGGCAGCAGCTTTGGTCTCACCTCGACCGACATCGCTACTCAACTTACCGATCTCTACAAGAACATGTCGGAAACACAGGGTGCCATTCCCCCGCTGACTTTCCTGAGTACACTTCGCATGGTCTACCCCCAGTTCGCTGAGAAGTCCAAGACCGGAGCCGGATATGCTCAGCAGGATGCCGAGGAGGCCTGGTCTCAGATCATTTCCCAGTTGAAGCAGAAGCTCTCTGAGTCTGAGGGTTCTTCGTTTATCGACAGGTACATGGCGGGAGAGCTTCAGTCAACTCTCGAGGCCGATGAGCAGGCAGCTAGGGAAGGTGGAGAGGAGCCTGTCAAGTCAAGCGAATCTTTCCTCAAGCTCAACTGTCACATTGATGCCTCAATCAACCACCTTCGCGACGGTATCATGGCTGCTTTGACCGAGAAGTTGGAGAAGAAGTCTTCCGTTCTGGATAGAGACACGACTTACACGAAAAAGTCGCAAATTTCACGGCTTCCTAAGTATCTTACGGTCCACTTTGTGCGATTCTTCTGGAAGCGAGAGGTGCAGAAGAAGGCCAAGATCATGCGCAAGGTTACTTTCCCCCACGAACTTGACGTTGTTGAGTTCTGCACCGATGAGCTGAAGAAGGCTCTTATTCCTGTGCGCGACAAGGTTCGCGAGATTCGCAAGGACGAAGAGGATATTGAGCGGGCACGCAAGAGACGCAAGATCAACCCTGTCGATCGAGGCGATGTTGCCGGCGCGTCTGGAGGTCCCGAGGGCAAGACAGCTTTGGAGAAGGCCAACGACAAGAAGGCCGAGAGAGCTGGAAAGCCCGTGGCCAGTACTTCTGATGGCGACACAGAAATGACCGAGACCTTCAAGACCGACGCCGAGGTCGAAGCCGAGAAAGATGCGGCTCTCACTGCTGCCAAGAAGGAGCTCTACGCTCTGGTCAACCAGGACCTTGCCAAGGACGAAGGCGCCAACCAGTCCGGGATCTACGAGCTACGTGGCGTCGTCACTCACCAAGGAGCAAGTGCCGATAGCGGTCACTACACTGCCTATGTCAAGAAGACCGCCCCTGTCGACCCCCAGACCGGTAAGAAGGGCGAGGAGGACGGTAACTGGTGGTGGTTCAATGACGACAAGGTATCCGAGGTGACCCCAGACAAGATCGATGCCTTGGCGGGTGGTGGCGAGTCGCACTCTGCCCTCATCTGTCTCTACCGGGCCATCCCTCTTCCGACGATTGATAATGAAGGCAAGAGCGAGTAGGAAAATCCAGCTGCTCAAAGCTCTTGAAGGGCATCGACTTGGCGTTTTCGAGCGATAACGAGGTTATAGGAGGCATGCAAAACCAGCCGGTGACAAAGGGACAAATTACTTTAGGGCATAGATAGACGGATTGATGAATGTAATGGATACTGTTCATTACGCAAAGTGATGTTCGCTACAATTATTCCTTATTTTTGTGTACAACTTGCGAATGGCCTTTGATCGACCTGATTATACAAAATTACCCATGGAGCCCATCAAGGCCTTACGCGTGGGCTGGTCGCTTTTGCGCCGCCGCCGATCGTGGTCTTCTGCCTCGAACTACGCGGATCCATCTGAAGCAGCAGTCCTTATCCTGCTTGGATATGCCTACTGCTTGAGGCCGAACTCTTGTTGGCCATGGCAGAACATCGCCATATCAGGCTTTTTACGCCGTCCGTGGTCAGCTTTCTGGCTTCTTGGCCTCTCCCTCTTTTATCCTCTCATCTAGAAACTCGAGCTTTCTTTCCCACTTCCGGCGCTCTGTGACTAAGCGGCCACGCTGGCCCTGTAGGAGAGAAATTTGCTCATCGTACGGAGACTCCCAGAAGCTTTGTCGTTCCTGACGAGGAGAAAACTCGTCAGTTTTCATGATGCGGTTTTGCAAATCAGAAATGCTTCCTTACCTCTTTCCATTCCTTCTGTGTCTTCAAGCCTGCGCCATAGGTGGCGCCTGTGAAGATGATGGCAGCGCAGCCGGCGGCCGTAAGGCCAGCGCGAAATTTTGTGAAGCCGCTCATATTTCGCAAGTTTGTGCTTTTGATGCTTCCCACTCCTCTTTTACGTCGAGATTTTAGTTCCTTGTTGCTAGGTTTGCAAAGGCGCTTGCTTCACCAGTACTCCCTCCAGACTTCTCTCGATTTTTTACTCCTCTTATCATCCACGCCGTTGGACCGTCGGTTCAAGGTGGTCAATTCGTCGGTCGCGGAAGAGAACGGGTTCCAACGGGAGCGCGAAGATACTGATGAGAAGGATGAAGAGGAGGAATCGTTCGAAGAAGTTGTGGTCGTCGAATCGAGAGAATTAGCTCGCCTGTGGCCTTGGGGTCTCTCGAGCGGCGTTGATGGAGAATGCCGCCGTCGGGTCGTTGTCCCAAAGGGATCGTACTCGCAATCGCAACAAGGAGAACAGCAATCGGTTGTTGTCGTCGTTGTCGATGTCGGCGTTGACGGGTCGGTAGCGGGGGCGGCGGGCGCAGCAGAGTACGGCCAAGCAATGAGCTCCAACGCGTTCGCGTCGGTGGTATCGGTGTCGTTGTCGGTAGTCTCGGTGGCGGCAGTCCAGCCAGAAGTGGAAACGCCGTGGCGGAGGAGGCCCCGCTGCAGACGTTGGCGCCGAGGAAGAAGAGGAGACGAAGGGAGCCCCAGCGCTCTTAGTAATCGTCCTGTCAGAGCCGGGGTTGGCGTGACGTCGTCGCTTCGGGTCATTACTGATGTTGAGCGGATAATTCAATCAGGTTAAAGGAAAAAAAGACTCATAAGAGGCGAGTTCCTGCAACCCCTGAGATAGAGAGAGGAGTTGCCAAATAACCAAAAAAAGGCAATCAAACGAGGAAAGGGTGTGTGGGAGACATTGACCTTTTTGTCAGTTGCGCCATTACAAACCCCGAAGCGAGCAAGAAGAATTAAAGATAAGAGACTTTGAGTAAGAACCACCCAGGGCCCCCAACTGCCTTTTTTCTGCTGCCCAGGGCATCCTCAAACGGGCTTATTCATTCCCACTTCTACTGGTGCGTTGAAACAAACTTCGTGAGAGCATCTCTCTTTCTCCCTCCTCTTCTCCTCCCCCTTCACCATTCATCCCTACACCAGAGCAGCGTCTATCCTCCTTTCCTCGGGTCTTCTGACCTCACATTCGCCACGACCCTTATCAACTCCCCTGCCTCTTTCTCGCCTATTCTCTCCCCGTCAAGCAACGGAAAGTCGCCGCAACATTCACTTTCGAGCAAATGATCACGACTAGGTAGTTCTTGCCCGTGTGGGGTTCTGGTGCGACCCCCTGCTCGTTACAGCCCTTGCTGAAACCTTTCTCATGGCGCACTACTACTGAGGATCTCCCTCTCTGCTACAAGCCCAAAAAGCCTTCTCACATTCCCCCCCCCCCCCCCATCCCCCATTCTGACCTATCCTGGACCGCATAAAACCAGACAGATGTCACAAAGCCGGATGACGACGGGGGAGATGGGACGCAACCTGCGGCAAGTGCACGCGAGAAGCGACAAAGTGCTACCGTTGCGATGGCCGATGCTGGGGCTAGGAGAAGATGCGATACAGGGGCCAGTAAGAGGGGGCAAAAGGCTTGTCTTCTCGCTTGTCATCGTCGGGGAGATCAGAAGAAACATCGGATACACGATACGGCAAAGATTTTGAAAAAAAAGAGACTCAGCACTGCCGCCCCCGCCTGGCCTTGGCTCGAGTTGGCAGATGTCGTTGGATCTTGGCCTCGACCGTGGATGGATTCATCGGCCAAAGTTGGCACTCACAGGAAACAAACCAACGATGAACTGTGTTATAAGTCATGGCAAGCGCCGTTACGGTTTACAGAGATCTCAAAAGGCTATGTGCAGAACTGAGATGGTACGCAAAGACGGGAAGAGCGGGACGGCTGGAAAGCCAAATTCGGCAAAAGCAGTAACGTCACGTCAAGCCCATCCGTCTCATCTTCCTCTCCTTTACCACCCACCATTCTTCATCAGGTTCCGGGCCCTCTTCATGCATTAAACGTCACAAGCACTCGTACAAACGTCAAGATCTCGCTGCTGTATGTGACAGGACCAAAAACTGACTCGGGGGCGTCCCTGCGCCGCCCTCCATTAGACCCCGAAGGACACTTAGACACCACCGGTGGAGATCGCATAACATTTCCCACCCACACCCAATTCGAGGTTACATCCGCTGTCAAATCGGCTTCCGCGAGACGGTCTTGTTGCACCCGCCGCCATGACGACTCCCCGTGCCTTTGTCATCCGCCACGGCGAGACGGAGTGGTCTCTGAACGGCCGGCACACCGGCAGCACCGATATCCCGCTCACCGCCAACGGCGAGAAGCGTGTGCGCGCCACCGGCCGCGCTCTGGTTGGGAGTGACCGCCTCATTGTGCCCAAACGAATCTCTCACATGTGAGTTGCGTGTAATTGTTAAGCCATCTGAGGAGGATAATGAGGTCTTCCGCTGCAGGGGCCCAGACTTGCTCTCAAGCTCAAATTTGACGATCCAGGTCCATCAAGTGATGTCACCGGGCACTGATCATTAGTCTCAATCTTAATTCCCTTGGCCATGAGCTCCTGCTAAAGGCAAATCAGCTACGTCTCCCCTCGCAAACGTGCCCAGCGGACTTTTGAACTGCTGAACCTCGGCATCAAGGACAATCTCCCCTGGAAGGAACACGGAGAGATCGAGGGCAACAGCCCGCACTGCAACGCCTGCGTCGAGGTCACCGAAGACATTCGCGAATGGGACTACGGCGACTACGAGGGCATCACATCGCCGGAAATCCGCCGCATCCGCAAGGAGCAGGGTCTTTCTGAGAACTGGGACATTTGGCGCGATGGCTGCCCTGGCGGCGAGTAAGTCTATTTCCCACTTCCCCGTGCTTTTCTCTCCTTCCGTGTCTGTCAAGGTCGCGCGTGCTGGTTTCCTAGGGCAGTGTCGTCGGCGATCTGGCCATCGATGCGGTCAGAACCGTTGATAAGGTGCTTGCTTCAAGGGAGAACGGGAATAGTCCATCGATCGACGTCATGTGAAGTCTCATAAATAACCAACGGGAATTTCCAACGCTGAGGAAAATCTTGCTAATACCCACACAGGAGCCCCCAAGACGTGACGGAACGTCTGGACCGCCTCATCAAAGACATCCGCGACAGGTGGCACAGCCCCGTCATCGGCGAAAAGGACGCGCCCAACGGAGATGTCCTCGTCGTTGCCCACGGCCACATTCTCCGCGCCTTTGCCATGCGCTGGGCCGGCAAGACGCTGCAGGACGGACCGGCGTTTCTTCTCGAGGCTGGGGGTGTCGGCACGTTGAGGTGAGTTTTTTCAATAAAAAAGAGTGTATCTATCCCCTATGTCGAGCGAGACAAGACTGACGTTGGGATATACCGTAGTTACGAGCACCACAGCATCGAGGAACCTGCTATTCTGCTTGGAGGTGCTTTTGCTGTTGATATCATTGATAAGGAATAAGTAGGTACGGGCGTTTCGGTAGACTGGAGGCACGGTCTTTTCAAGTGTGTTCCGCTCGTCGTCAACCAAAGAGGTCCAAGCCTGAGTTCAAAATTAAAATAAAAAAAATCTTTGACATCTTGAGCTCATCGATATATCTAAGCCTTGGTCCCCCGCGCCAAGAACACCCGCCTCTTCATCCCCTGCTCCGAGCCATGGCCATGGTCATGTCCCTTTTCCTCTCCATGATCATGCCCCTCATGCCCCTCATGCCCGTGTCCATGATCGTGTCCATGGTCGTGTCCTCCATGCCCATGCCCATGCCCCCCAAAAACAACACCACTCCCGAGCTCCTCCATCCTGAAATCCCTACCAGCACCAGCCTGCTCAAAGATGGCTCTCATCCTCTCCTCCGAAAACCCGTGGTGCATAACGGTATGCGCAGCAGGCAACGCGTGATCCATCTTCTCGTGCGGCAGGAAATCGAGAATAATAAACACGCCGCCCGGTCTCAGCCTCTCCACCAGCCGGCGGGCCGAGAGCTCCGGGTCCTCAAAGTGGTGGAACCCGAGACCGACGCCGGCAACGTCAAAGTCGCGGAAGCGGCCGTCGTCGGAATTGAAAGCCGCGGGGGACGGATCGGACGGGTCCGTGAGGTTGCCTTGGTAGGCGTGCATTTCGTCGGTGGTGAGGCCCTAGAATTGGGGGGGAAGTGGTTGTCATGTCAGTCCATCGGGTCACAGCTGAACGTTTTTTTATCTTTCCCTTTCCTTGCCGCGTCTTTCCGCTCCTCTTTTTTGCCCTTTTTCGTCTTTTCTCTTCCAGCGTCGTCGTCTCCCATGTCTCATGTCTCATGTATTTTTGCGGCAACTTTGCGCAGGGGCTTCTGGTCACGCAATATCTTCCCCGTGCGCCGAGCCGCCCGCACAAACCCGAGCCCGCACAGGCTTGTTCGGTCTACGGCCGAGCACTCGGAGGAAGAAGAGAGAGGGGAAGGGGGGATTTGGGGGGGGGGGGGAGGGTGGGAGAAGTGCGGGGGTGCTGGCTCGCCCGGAGCGGCAACCCTGTAATCAAAAG